GCCACTAAGTGCTCACAGGCCTTTAGCGAGAGACCTGGTTGATTTATCTGGATAATGTCATCGTTTTTGACTGAACTTTAGAAAGAGCAATTGGGTAGCTTGTGCTGTCGCAGTTCCATCTGCTGCAGTCCTCAGTGCGTTATCTGCGGCATTGTGGTCTCTGATATAGGGGTAGCCATAGAGGTTGGCCACGTACGAACGTGGCCGACCCCTACAGAGTTGTCCAAGGTCTGCGATTTTTGGGGTTTTTTGTTTCTTACGACCGTTGATTTATCAAAAAGTTGTGTCCATTGCAAACCATTGCATCTTCTACATGGGGAGGGGGGATAATCATAGATTCTACTGAGGTCCGCAGAAGAAGCTGTTTTCCTGCAGATGCATTCGCGATCTCATAGACACTCCACCCCTGCCACACCCTGATTTCCAGTTGCCCTTTACAGCTGCTAGCGACATGTGAATTAGAGGCGTGCTATCATAAGATCAGTAGGGATGAGATGTGGACATCGCCTATGGCAGTCGTGTGCTGTCCTCGGCAGAACAGCGCTCCTGTATGACCCATAAAGAGCTATTGGCCGCAGTTCAGTTTGTGCAACAGTTTGGGCCCTATCTGTATTGACGGCAATTCACAGTGTGCACAGACCATGCTGGCTTGCAGTGCTCACTCCGTATCGACTAGCCGTCAGGCTAGCTGGCCAGATAGATGGAGCGACACCAGGAATACTTGTACCAAGTTGTGCACAGCAAAGGGCTTGCAGCATGCAAATGGCGATGCGTTGTTTAGACTGCCACCATTGCTTCCTTGCGTGTGCATTATCGGCGTGACTCCTTGCAGACCCGCAGACTCTGACGAGCAGGTGGTGGTTGCTTCAGCCAATTACCCTTTTGGGTGTGCCCAAGGACCCGATGACTGACTACGGCCTGTGGCGGAACCTCGCCGACTGGCAGCGAAAGCAGGCTGAAGATGTGTCCTTACGGCCTCCTATTTGTGACCTCATCAGGTTGAGGAGGCGTGGGTCGGCTCGCCACACAGTTCCGGTTGTGTTCAGTAAAAGGGTCTCCTCGCGCGCTGGGATGGGGCCGCCCAGCGTCGTCAACCGGTAGCTCCGACACACCTGCTACATCAGGTGGTCGTGGACACCCAGCTCCTCCACCCTGCTGGTCGGAATCCCCTGCCAACCCTGTGGGCTCAATATCTTTGGCCTGACACGACGCCCGATGTAGATCGATGGGTGGCTTCCTGCCAGGAGCGCACACGCAGGGAGCCACCACCGTACACACCCCAGGCAGCCCTTGCAATCCATCATTGGTATCCAGGGTCAATGAATTGGTAGCGTTGGACATGCTAGGGCCATCCTCAAAAAGACACTCAGGGGAAATAATGTTTTACTTGCAAAGGGTTGAGTACTGCACCTACTGGCGGATGGCATGGCCCCGACCGGATCAGACAGCTGAATCCATCGCTGACGCTTTTATTAATGACTATGCGCTCGGCAAAGGCCTTCCAGAGTGTTGATTAACGGACCACGGTAGACATTTCTCATCCCAAACTGCTTAAAGATGTCTGCAATATTACGGAGACTAAGAATGTGCGCACATTTCCCAACCGTGCTCAGGCTGACAGGATGGTGGAGCGGCAGCTGCCATGGCAGTTGCGTCCAGGGACACCTTCGTCGAAGGGAGCCAGATATAATGGTCCTGTTTGCCGAGTCCATGAGTTCAACAACCTATGGGGTGGCCTTCAGCTATTCCACACCACGTGTATTCATGAGTGCACCTATTCCGGGTGTCCCAGAAATGTACTCATGCCACAATTTTCGTGGTGTTGTTTTATTGGCATGTAGTGTTTTGTTGATGTTCTCTTTTCATGTTTTTGCCACTATTGATGTCACAACTGCCATCGAGTTGCATCCCTGTTGTGTGGGGTTTCAATTCTACAGCATAGATCGATTAAGCCGAGGATGGATACTCCTAAAAAAAAGGGAGGGGAAGGGTGATGTGAGGGATACCGTGATGCACTCCCCACTAATTAAAAATAAACCGCCGGCCGGCCAAAATAAGAGTTTCTGAACACGGGAAACTCTAGGAAAATCAGGGTGCGTGGCTGGGAACATGTCAGGACGGGAGCCCTGATTGGCCACTTTAACAGCCACTCTGGGAAGTGTGGGAAAGAGAAAAGGGCCAGGGGACGAGCCTGGATATTCTAAAGGAAATGAGCAAGATTATTTTTTAATGAGACATAGCTAAAGGTGGATAAAGAGGTGAAGAGAAGAATGGTAAAAGAGATAACGTGGGCAGAAGTGAAGGGAGATTGTAGAAGGTTCGGCAGTAGACGAGATATTAGGGTGCGTGATGTAAACACGGGGCTGCACGTAGCCAACGTGGTAATTGGAGATATGTGCGGTGGAATGGAGTTTGAAAGAGTGCACATTTGGGGTAAATGAGAGATTGCAGGAGCTACCACTCCATTATATAAACGGAGTGGTAGCTCCTGCAATCTCTCATTTACTTGATAAAGCTGTCGTGGCTGTGACGGTACCACCTGAAGACGGAAGCTTGCGTTGCCTCCGAAACGTCGTGATTTTTATTTTATTTTACTTTTTAATGTTTTTACCTACGTGACTTTACCGAAAAAACCTAAGAATAATCTTTAAAAAAACCCTATACAAATAAGTAAAATTATGTAAAGCTGCCTTACATACGTAATTATACAGCGGACAGAGCAGACAAATTTGGCGACACGCCTAAGCGGTGAGGCCACATCACCCGCTCACTTGCTGCCCAAGAGACCCATGTTAATAACGGACAACTCCTTGCGTTCTAGTCCATGGTGCCTTCAGCGCAGGCTAAGCGGGAACTTGCCCTCTGATTCACTTGGCCACAGCAGCAAATAAATAAATAGATATGCCACAAACGTCCCCGCTGCATTATTGGGTAAATGTTCTCCCGGAGCGCCCAAACCTTCACTAGCTTTATTGTTATTGGCTGATACACTTAGCACCTCATCGTCAAAGTGTCTCCATGCTCAACCAAGTATTGGGCAGCAGTCATTTTGCAGAATTGTCGCCTCTCCCCCCATTTGTCTCTTGCAAATGGGGCAAGAAGGGCTTTAGCTTGGGCCCAAGACAGACATTAGAGAAAGGCATGGAGAGAAAGAAACAGACGAGAGACATGTAAATACAGACACATCGAGAGAGACAAACACATAGAGAGAAAGAGAGATACATATGAAGCCAAAGTGACATGAGAGAGACGCATGGTAGAGACATCTATACAGAGAAAAACACAGTGAGGGATATTGACAGCCATGAAGAGAGCTATAGAAAATAGACATATACACAACATAGATAATACAAAGATACATGGAGACATATACATAGGCAGAGGGGAAGATATCAAGACAGAAATATAAAAACAGACATGTAGAGAGACACAAAGTAGAGAAAACCCCACTGAGACACAGACCACGACAGGCATAGAGAGAGGCATGCATAAGGACAGAAATACAACAAAATCACAGCGAGACAGAGAGAGACACACAGAGAAAGACACGAGAGTTGCATGCCGAGAAGCACGCAGAGAGATACAATGACAGAAACAGACATACACATGGAAAGGGGTGCACACAAAGAGATTGCTACAGACGTGGAGACAGACACAGTGAGAAACATTGAGAATTTTAAACACCCTTAAAAAAGGTGAGGGCCTTGCGCACGTCTCCTCATTTAATTATAAGACGGCACTGCTTGTAGTGTCTCACTGGCAACACTGAGCCGGTGGTAAACATCCACTTTCCTCAGGTGGAGGCCAGTTTCTCCAATGAATGACTATTTATGTTGGACAAAATGATGTTCACTTTATTGATAACTCAAGGAGGATGGGCCAAGTTAAACCCTGAGCAGTATTAAACTTGTGACTCTCAGAATCTGGGTTGAGGGTTCCACCATCAACACCACTTGACCGGGCTCATTAATTCCTATACTACTTACCCCTGTGGTAAAAGAAACACAAAAAACGACATTGTGCTTCAAATTTATCATCCTCATACTATATTCGAAGAAAGGTTTGCTGTCTGGATTCCTGTCTGGCTGGTACTCGCTGGCTGGCTGTCTGGTGGGAGGGTCACATCCAAAGGAAGTGCAGGCGAATAGTTTTTATGGCATAAGGGCAAGTTGGCTGGTAGCTAATGTGATTTAGCCTAGAGCAAGGAGAGGATGATACTGTATGTGGATCATCCTTGCTGCTTTATCACCCTTGGTATGTATGTATGTTGAACTTCTTTTGCACTGCACGTAGCCAACCGTGGTAATTGGAGGTGCGGGGGGAGGACAGCATTACGTTGCTCCAAAACAGGCTACTCGAGATTGTAAAATGCATTTCAAATGAAAGAAGGCACTAAAATAAAAATTTTCTGGAATAGTTATAGGGTGAAGGTGTAGCCCTGCAATTGCTTGCTCACGCCAATGCTGCAGGAAGGGGGTCCACTCGAAGGAGCTCTCTGAAGTGCTCTTTCGTGGGTGTTTGACGGAGTCTTTCATTTTAAGTTCAACACGTAGGCTTTCGCGACCAATATTATCTATGATAGAGGTTTATTTGGGTGAGATCACGTAAATATGTGTCGTTAAATCCACCACTACCCGACACAGCCAATTATGGTTCATTTTTATTGCTGGTCAAATATCTTGGAAGGGGTGGGAGTACCCACAATTTTCCCCACCATACAAGCGACTTGCCGATTGACTATGTATGCGTGTACGTTCAGTTCTTTTGTCACGATTTATATTGCTGGATGGACAAAGGCGAGAGGATGAATGAAACCTGGCCATCTGTTTAAACCGCCACACCGGGAAATCAAACGGGGAGACTTCTGGATTGTAAATTTGCAGCACTGATATCCAATACGCCACGGCAGAAGTATAGCAACGTGTTTAGGGTGAAATCTATTAAATTCTCGTCTCTGGACATGGTGCAGCATCTGAGTTGTTGCAGGGAGATGTACTTACCAACGCATCTTCCATGATCATTCAGGGTGAATCCTTCTCCACACTGGGGGGAGAGAAAAAAAAAACAACGATGCGTGGTTGACTCCATGTCACTGCATTTAAAATTGCTATGGTTATCTTTCTTTCAGTCAAGACCATTTATTTTCATTGATACTATAATACAGCATGTCAGATATAGTATTTGTAACAAAGGAATTACATTTACTTGGCTGAATGTGATAGGTCAAGCCAGCTTAGATAACAAAAGTATCAAAGAATGAAGAAGCCCGATGTATTTGTTCCTTACAGTTTGGTTAGAGGGCAAATTGTGTTCATTATAAAGCAATTGCACCTCTCAGCAGCATTTCAGTAAAATAATATGATTTCATTTTTGGCATTTGTGCTGCTCTTGTGCACATAAGGAATGGTGGTGAATGCCTTTAATCACTCATCGTACCAGGCAACCGCAGAGGCATTCAGCCCACTCGCCTTACTCGGTTATTGTTGAAACTATTCTATGTGTCGGTTAGATATATTGGTAATTTCTCATTGACCACACACATTCCTTAACGGATAAGCATAGGCAGCTTTAAATCAAAAGGAGACTCACCATAAAAATACAAACATTGCAAAACAAAACCTCAGGCTTGTGTAGGTGTCAGTGAAAGTAACCATTCTTCTTATAAAATTACAATTTCGCTGTTGAAATATTTATACAATTCTTAAAAGTGCTGACGCTGTCTCCTACTGATCTTTTCAAAATGAGATGTCATACCCCATGGGGCTCGTCTCTCCTCATTAATATTTTAAAAACAAATAATAAATCAATACGTAAAGATGACATCATGTGTATCTTGTGCCTAAAAGTGTGATAACTCCCCCCCCCCTCCTCTGCATTCACTCTAATTGTTTTATATGCAGTGTACAGCCGTAACTCACTGTGTTTATGTAACCGCATGATAAAGGGGATTATATTTGGCACTCAGATGGCCACAATAGTTTTCAGCAAAGTGAAGAAAGATGACCCAAAGTCAGCACTGCAGATGCCTCGCGTACTTAAGCGGACTTGTTTTTCATTTACAGCGAGACGGTTTAAAGTCTATCACACTCCAATGTGCAGTTTAACATTGCAAAGCCATCACCGAGCGGTGTCCATCGCTGGTGCACCGTAACATTCTTAGTATTTTTTTCTCATTTGTATGGGGGCATTAAATGATTGAGTTCAATGACCTTTCAATTTTATAGCAAATTTATTTTAAATATCCCGCCTGAAAGACTGGGAAGTGCCTATGTGTCCTGAGCTAGTAGTAGACATTCTACATTCCCATGGCGGGAGCCAGTCTTGTTCACAGCATGGCGATTGCTGGCTTCCCATAGAGTGGTACTCCAGAAATGTTGTCCATCTCAGATTGACGAAAGGCTGAGTCTTCCTGGAACAGAATGTGAACTATAAATGTTTAAGTTTAATAACCCTATCTAAATATTCTTCAGATTAAACATTTACCCATTGTATACTTACTTTTAAATTTTGATTTAGCAACTCCCACGACTGTTTTTTAACCACCGACGTTTTATGCAAGGCCCGCGGGCCACTGACGGTCCCTGGTAGCCTTTGGTGTGGCCCCTGAAATGCGGCCCCCGACAATACACAAATGTGAATTAATTTATCTTGCAGGTGATGTGGTGGCCCTCACACTGATGTCTTATCAGCGAAAGTGGGCCCCCTCTGACAATTAGTGAAGAACACTGGCTTAGGATCTTGTCCACTCTGTGTTTGTTTCGCTTTCATCTTTTTCAGTGAGATTAGTGAGGGCTGCCCCCAATGCCAAGGTGACATTTCTTGGTGATCAGATGAAGGAATTTTAAGGTTGTTCTTAGGGTGGCATAGTAATAATGAACATCATGATTCAAGAAGACATGCTTCACAGCATGGAGATTTCACGGTGGCTCTTATGTCAGTCATGATTACACCTTCTTTTCCAACACTGGCTCCCACAATTAACTGAGCTGCCACCTCCTGACAGCCCGGTGGGTTTTGGAGCTTCACCAATCTACGTGATATATGCAGGTATGTTGAACTTCTTTTGCACCATATGCTGCCAACCGTACTAATCGGAGGTGCGGGAATGCACCAACCCCCTTGCCTCTAATGCACTGGATTACAACACTTGGATACTCAACATGATCCTATCACGTGCTCAAATACCTACTGCGACATAGGTCCATCCAATCATGAAGGCATCAACTACTTAGTCGCTCACAACCTACTTGACTCAACCCTTCACGATCTTGCCATTTGCTTCATTTCCAGTCAAGGTTTTTGCACCTATTCATTGCACCCTGTGCCTTTGAACAAAAATCCATTGTGGCATATCCCCCACCCAACTCCCGTCCAATTTTTTACCCATTGCGACCTTACCGCTTACTCAGCCACTCATGTGCTGCTATCTGCCAAGTCCGGTCCAATGCCTGGCCACTCGATACACCAGCGGAAGCAACACAACTTCCCGCTTGACTGACAATTGTGGGCCTATGGCCCAATATATTTCGGGTTGTTTCCCCCTGCTGTATAAAATGAAATCACATTTTTAGATCATCACATGCAAAGCAATACATTGAAAATATACTCACAGAGCCATACCAGAAACAGAAATGTTCAGTTAAAATCTAAAAAAATTTTGCCACACTCGAAATTGCCATTTCCACTACTTCAATTTAATAAGTGTTTAACTTTTAAAGAAATGCAGTTCTGGAACAAACAAAAAAGATATAATATTTTTGGACACACGTGTTAAATTGCAAAGGGATGGTGGAGCAGTGGTTTAGCACAACACAATGTGAACACAACGACCTCGGTTTTAATTTATGGCCAGGGCCAACAACAACATTGGTGGCAAGCTGATATTTGAACCTGTCCTGGGCACCCCCCTCGACCAACCCTTCACACAACCTACACTGACCAGTGTGGTGAAGTATGAACAGACAATCGACGTTCTGACGTGACATAAAAAGGCCTTCATTCAAATTTAAAAAAATACTTGGAGATTACCTTATGGTGTAAAGCTACATGTAGCAATATCACCCACTACTGTAAAACTACTCCATACGTTGCTAGTGAACCACAATGCTTTGTTGATGATATCCTTGCACTATAAGAATGGCAAAAATACCAAATGTGGCAATTAATTTATTTAGTATTAAACATTCTACATTTCTGCTCAGCTCACGATGGCTGCTTGATTCGATGTGTGCACAAGGGAAGGGCACCAATGGTGTCCAGACAAACGGTGACCAGCTTTCACATACAATGACACCTAAGGTGTTATCATACTTGGCACAATAAACCCCAGTTGCATTCCACAAAGAGAAGTGTAAACAATCTCTGGAAACGTAGACAGTTAATAAAAACATCCTTTAACAGCTCCGAGGATATTTTCACCAGTGGGAGTTTGGTCACCTCGCTGTGAATACTGACAAAACCAACCTGATAGGAATACATTTGTCACATTCAGTCTCAGGTGGGTGACATTACGCGATAGTGTTCCTGTTGTCTGCGTGTTTGACGTGCGTATTTATTTCTAAACAAAAATTGAAAATAACGTAAATGTTTTTACTGAACACTACGCAACGTCACTTGCAACTGATGTTGCATCATATATGCAACATTGGTTGCAGCATCAGTTGCATAGTTTTGCACATTGGAAAAAAAGATATAACCATGAGCATGTTGGTGTTGAAACTCAGATGTCAATTTTTTATGTACACTTACAATTATATTAATATATGCGCAGACCCAACGTACAAGGTACATAATTGATAATGCTTTTTTGGTGCCTATCACTTGTCCACAAATCAATATGAGTTTTGCGCCATGTGATTGCTATTATGAATAAAACATGATCATCAATATATATTTAATTTATAATATTTGAAAAATAAGTCTTGCGCACACAACAGCGTTAATACACACCCCACGTGTGTGCACGCACCCTCGCGATTGGCTTCATGTGGACACAGAAGCCACTGCAGATTTGTTCAAAGCTACTAACATAGGCAAACAATTTACGTTTGTGTGGATACCCTAATCCAGCCCTAGTGTTGTGATATAGTGGTGTCCTGGAGCAGGATCGAACGTTAGATTCTGAATGAATTGTGGTGAGAATGCATGTGAAAATTTGACTTTATGAATACCATGAATAAAAGCAAAGGGTGTTTTATATGCATATATGAAAAAATCTTCGTCGTGCTCTTGTCACTGAGCTTAAATGTAACCATCTGCTAGACTCTGTGGGAATCACAGGAGTGCATTGTGTGCTATAAGAGCAACAGTCTGCCATTCCGTATTATTGTCGTAGGCAGGAGGCAACATTTTACTATTACCTGCGACTAAAAATATCCTGGCTACGTTTTGTTGCCTGGGTGTCTTTAAAAAATATATAGATTTCATAATTACATTTGTATCTGATTCCGAACTCTGGCGTGTTGGGTGCTCACATTCAAGTTCCAAAACGTTCTGGTTGAAGTGAAAAGACACAATACGGACATTATTGTACTTGTATTACAACATTTTGTTATGCCTTTATAGTGTTTCAAAAAGTGTAAAAACATCTCTTTAATTGAAACCAGCGTGCACCAACCCACTGAGCTATGGTAAACATAAAGGCCATAGTTGAGGCATAACAGAGGGTTTGGTCTCTATTCAGCTATGTTTAGCTTTTCACAAGAACATTAACCATAAAACCCAACATTCCATCGCAAATTGCCCCACTCCAGAAATATTTCAGAGTAAAGCAATCACTGCTCGATTGCATTGCTTTTGCTGGACAGACAATGCAAGTATTCCATGCCGTTAAATAATTTAAAGCGGGCTACGTCAGCGTCTATGATTTATTTTATTTGTTTAGCGGCTACAAATGAAGCATCTGTGCTATAGCATTGCTCCCGATATGAGTAATTGGATTTACAATCCACGGAGGAGTGTCCTTAACCAGGAGTGCGGTGAATGTAAAAATAACGAAAAATGGTTACATTTGACTGCTTTTAATTTAATTGCACGAACACAAC